ATAATGAATAATAATAATAATGTAATATTTGTGTTATAATTTGTGACTCAATGCAAAGTGTATTTTCTTTGCCGAATGCAATTTTAAAGCTCACGTAAAGGAAGAGCTCCGGGTTCGTTTCATTATCCTGCGCTTCAGAGTACCTAGCCTCTTGCCATAAATTTTAGTTATCACTCCCATTAATTACAAGCGATGATGGGAACAACAACCGCAACTGCGGTGTATGTGCCCGGTGTAATGCAATTTATTAACGTTTTTTGAAGTTGTATAACGAGATATCGATGTTTCGGGCAATATATTATAGCAGCAAGCGGAAGATGTTCATATTTTATTTTAGATATTATTATAATGTTCCCCGTTATTAAGTGCGTGTACGTATATGCTTGTCGATTGACTAACTTTGTCATAGATTTTAAATTTGATGATTAATAAGTATGTGTATATTCAGTAAAAAATGTCAAAACAGACCTTTTACTAAATAAATGATATATATAGTAATTTGTAAGTCACTATTACCTCTGAAATGATGTCATTACGGCTGAGTAAAAAATAGTCCTTTTGTTGTGGTCTATGAAAGTAATTTCCCTAATCCGGATTCTGCATTTTATAAGAATAAAAAATTTTTGCGGGCAGCCCCTCCGATACATACACGAGGGTAAAGCCGGGAGGTAGTGCGGAAGACGCTGTTAGACTCATGGAAATGCGTGGATGGTAGTATCTATTTAATGATCCATATTTTTCTGTTTAAAGTGATATATAATATAATTGAGATATAGTTTTTCTATCTTTATTTTACAGATTCTTTAGTTCTGCAAAAAATAATTCTTCTATTTGCTTCTTTATTTGCCTTTATCACCCGTTTAAATTGGAAAAGAAACACTGATGCCAAAATAGTTTGTTTACCGTGAAAGATCGCAGCCAAATAGACTTGCAAATAATTTTATTGATGTAAAATCAACATTTTGTGTTTCCGATTTTTTATACATTGTAATAAGAGGAAAAAATGGAATCCATAGTTCCTTTAGCTTTGGATTCATCTAATAAGTAAAGTTTTTCGAATCGTTTCCTAAGAATTTTGGATTATACGAATTTATTAGCACATCACAACATCTTGTAGTTTTCAGTTTTACACAGCTGGCGTATGTCAATTCAATATTGTTTTGGGGGCTGTTTTGTCGTAATTCATACCATTTCGTAGTTTGGAATTTCACCATGACATTAAACCCGGAAAACAATATCGATCCAATATTTTAGATTATCCATTTCCAAGGAGTTTAGAATATTTTGGGCTCTCTTCAGTTAAAGAATTAGAAGGTATTCATGGATTGTCTTTTTGTCCCCTTTTTAAGCTTCTTTACCTTCAAAATGTATTTTGTATTTTACAAATAGAAAAGACATTTGGAAAATTTCATTTTGTATTTGCACTTTAAATGCAAATATTTCAAATAAATCACATCTCTGACTGTGTAGAACATTAGTACTCCAGAATTTAGTGGTCCAAGAAAACTAGTGGAATAAGGGATGACGGACCCGGAATCAAACCGTTGTCCTCTTGAATGCGAAGGTATATTTTACAATGCTTTCGGCTTACTTGTCTTTTGTCTTACAATATACAACCAACACTTTTAATTTGGATAAAATTGGGTTAGATATGATAACATCTCGCGAGTAGACGGTCTTCAACCTATAAGCTGTGCTCTTTCGTGAAGTGTTAAGGAAATAGACAATTTTTTTTATTAGCCAACAAATAGTAGTAACAAGTTAAAGCTTGAAATGTGGCGTGCTTACAGACTATTGTTTAGCTATCACCTTCTTCCGTGTTTATTTATTTTTTTTTTGTTTGTAAAAGTAATGTTATTCTATCTGACTATTAAAGTTTATGACCAAATTGGTACTTTCTTTAACTGGCGTTTTCTCACGATCCAGGTGTTAACTGATACTAATACGGCAAGCGTCACTTTGACTTGGAATCGGTCTTAAAGGCAGGTTGCGCTAAAGAGTCAAAACGTGCATTTTCATTAACGATTGTTGGACTTAATAATTATGCAAACTGCAATGTGCTTGGCCTTTCATCCCATTCAGCTTGATTTAAGGCAACGATTAATCCGAGAATAAAGAAACTCTGAGCATCAGATAACTAACTCACGTCTTTCAAATTCCGTTCCTCTAAAAGGAAAACAATATCGAATCTTCAATTACAGACGGCATTAGCCGCAATGTTTATTTTATCACCTGTTGTTTGTATCGAGCAAATTGTCTATAAAATTTTTCCCATTTAAAAAAATCTCTACGTGTTTGTCACTCGAAGCATCCATTTAAAGACGATACCGAAGGACTTTAATGTTCAAGGAATTTGTATACGTATTCTTCCATGATGCTTTTTATCTATCCGCCATAAGCTACGTACTTTCGTAATATTGCGTTTATTTTTATTAGTCGAAAGCTACAAATTTACTGGAAGACTTAACTAATAAAAAGAACTACCTACCTATACCAAAATTGGAGATGTACAATGTCTTCATTAATAAAAACCATAAACATAGACTAAAAAGTGAAATTGATTAAAGTCGAGTAATAAAACAGCACAGTAAATGGAAATTGTTTATTTATAAAACTGATTTCTTAAATCGTTCCATAAAAATGAAATTTAAAAGAAAAATACAGCGTGTAACTATACAACAGGCTACTGAAGTGAAACTTCTTCAAACACACAAACATACGGGGTTGGGGTTAAGGAATTCGTTTAATGGTATTATTTGTACACTATGTTTCGCACGGGTGTATTGCTGATAGTAAATATACTATAAAATGTCTTTATATACAACAATCACAGCTTTTTTGTCATTAGACAATACAAACCGGGCGGTACCGCCGCAACCGCTATGTCCTTGCATTTTAAGTCTGTAATATCTTCGAAAATATTCATTTAAATTACATGCTGTAAAGGGCCATAGTGATCTATACTAAATGCACAACGTATTNTAAGGATTAATGCTGTATTGATTATTATTGTGGGTTATCCCTGAGAGATAGACATATACTATCACGGACTTTTTTGTAGACTTTTTTAAGGTGTACAATACTGTAGTATATTATTTTGATATATCTCGTAGGGTTCAGCCAGCGTTGGCAATGTAAGCGCAAAAAAATGTGTTTATTTACCACATCACATTACAAACCTCTAAAATTATCAGTGTTTCTCTACTATATTATGCATATAAACCTTCCTTCTGAAGTACTCTACCTATTAAAAAAAATCGCATTAAAATCCGTTAGATAGTTTTAAAGATCTAAGCATACATTGGGACAGACACCGGAAGAAATGCGTTGCATGATTTCGTTACATAGCAACTCGCATGAAACGAACTTACCCTACCGTGCGTAAAGAAGTTTCACTTCAAAAATACTATTAAAAAAAACAAACTAATGAACGACCAAAGCAGTACTGCTACGAGATTAAATAAAAAAGACAGAGGTGATAGTAGAATCAGTAAAAAAATTAATTTCCTTAAAAATAGTAACTGGTGTTCAACTAGTGGTGAGCAAAGCAAGACTAATACCGCAACTGTCTCAGTCTTGGTCTGGCTTATTTGGTCTTGGTTTCGGTCTTGTTCAACTAGTGGTGAGCAAAGCAAGACTAATACCGCGACTGTCTCAGTCTTGGTCTGGCTTATTCGGTCTTGGTTTTGGTCTTGCTCAAATACTTTCAGTCTTTGTATTGGTCTTCCTGAGTTATGAAAATTCGAGAACTTACCAGTGCATAAAATGACCCTTCCTCCAACGCATAAACTGACTTCTTAGGGAACAAAATAGTACAAGGCACTTGAAAAATGTAAAAAATATCGAAAAAAAAAAAGTATTTTGCCTCTATATTTCAGCCATGTGTTATCCAGACATCAAAAAACACTTACTGCTAAAACCAAATAAGTACCTGCTTCTCTTGCCTTTCCACTTTCTCGTTTCGTCTTAAGGTGTTAAGTCTTCTATATTAGTCTTTATTTAACGTAAAAAAAATTTACTACCCTAGAAAATCTGTGATTTTTTATACTAATGTTAGTAAACCTTTTTGTTGTATTTATAAACAGTACATTGTCTCAATTTTTATATATTTGTATGTGTAAGTCCTTTATAAATTAGTATAAATACGTATGAAAAAATATAATTACATTAATTAAGCTATCTCTCATGGCAAGAACTTTGATTAATTTATTAAAAACACGTTTTCTACTGAAAGCTGGATGTGTCCCTTGTATAGTGTATTAAATTATATCGCATATGAATTTTTAGGAGCGATGCTGCTTAAAAAAAGCTCTTCATTATGTCTATATATCGTATAAGTACGCTAAAATTAGAAGCATCTTATTCCATGCGCAAACATCTTTATAATGCTTTCAGATGTTTGCATTGGTATCATATTAAAAGTTATGCCATTGTTGAAACCGGAGGATTGACCTTAACGGATGTAAATTTTAAATGCCACTCCTACTTATTATACGTATTATCATGGGATATTATTATGTTTGAATTAATTATAAAACGCTTGAATTTTGAATAATTTACACGAATGAATGAGCGAAGAGAATATGGAAAAAGACTTTTATGTACAAGATACAGTTAGATACGTTTTACATATTTTTAGTTCGCATAATCTTTAGATTTATGTTGGAACTTTTTTAGCAGATATTTTTTTAGGATATGGTAAAATTAAACATTCAGTAAATAATAATTCCTATTAATACAAGTTTGAATAGTGCCTAAAGGTATTCACTAACTAGCTAACGAATGCTTTCTGACTTCTTCAGTGTAAACTGTGTTGCATTAAATATTTTATTTGAGAAGCACTGGAAGTCTAATTATTTTCTTTAGATACAGTTCCTTAAGTTGTCCCTATGCATTTTCTTCGGTTAGACGTAATATATTCTTGATTGCTTAGTCTAAATGTATAATAATAAGATTTTCTAAAAAGTAATTAAAGTTTTAATGTTTTTCTTTTGTTTCAGGCTTGTGCGCCTCGATATATCTGGTTTTCGTCCTCAAAGGAGAGAAGAGATCCAGTAGGAACTTGCTTTGTATCCAAAGGCGACTTCGGGGAATATTCCGAATACTCGCCATGTCGAACAGGTAAAAATGTTTTAAAATTAATAAACCTTGGGAAATTTTCGTTTAACAATTTATCTATCTGTACGATCTGTTTTCATCACGTTTAAGTAACGGTACATTTTTATCGAAAACGAACATCTCTGTTTAAGCCTTAAAATTTATCTCACACAGTTATCGAAAACATACAAGTTTTTGTTTCGATGTTTTGAATAAGAATTATTTTATAATTTTATATGGGCTTGTGTTAAAAATGTACAAGCCGAAAGTATATTGTTGCCATTTTTATTTTTAATATTGACGCAAAAAATAAATATCAGTATACAACAGTATTTCGTAAATTAGCACACTAAAATTTCTGTCGAATGTAAAAGACTTAACAGAAAGCTCATTATTTCGTATTTTTAAGTCAATGAATATTGATGGTCATTTTATTATTCTTAGCATATACTTATCTACTTATTATTTTCCGGAATTTTCTGTTTAAATTATTAGGGTCGTTATTTCAACATCAAACCATAAAATACATTAAAATTTAAGAGTTTTATGAATGTATTTTTCTTTTTGGTTTTCAAGAAAATTATTAAATGGGTAAACAAATCGCAAGGCAGATAATCGTTTTATTTATATATCTATATCGTATATTAATAGATAAAAGTATCTGTAGTGTCGAAATAACTGCCTTTATTAAGCTCGTGTGAATAATTGTATGCTGTTAAGTTAAATGGGTTAATCTTCGAAACGGTTGAAATGATTTCTTTTTTTACCAATCAATCAATAAACTTCCTACGACTGCAACATAATTAAAAGAACATCATGTGGACTGTTTGAACTCCCTAAAATCCCTCTAATTCAAATTGGTTTAAATAATTTTACATTTTGTTGCTTTACGAAGGGATATTTATTATTAATGACTGTGTTTTTCTGCTTTTCCTGTACATTTCTTAATTTTTTACAATGGATTTACATATTATATGTTCTTAAATTTATTAGGATTTGTAAAGCATGACCTATCTGTCCAGCAGAAAAAAGGATCAAAGTCCTTGGTTTTTATTTGATATAGGATACAGGTACCTCATAATAATATTTCCAACACTTGTTTATTGTAACAAAACAATACCCTGGTGTACCTTATAAAACCGCCTCAAACTTCAGAAGTCTGACTTAAACGGATGTTACCATTTGTTAAAAGAAAATCTTCTCGACTTCGTAGAATGAAACGATAAAACCCTTGGCGTTTAAAAAAGTCGCACTATTTTCTTTTATTGACTACATTTCCTGCATTTCCGACCCACGTCATTAAATGTTCTGACGATGACTAGAACGGAGTTACGGAAACGCGTTTGTCGTCCTGTTTGTTGGGCTTCAATAATTAACACATGTGTTGCAGCTATGTAGCTATGGACACGTGCATTAGCAGCAGCATCGGCAGCGTTTGCAGTACGTAATAAATGTATCTCGGAAGCAAATTATCCGTCTCATAACGAAACGGGATGAGATTGCCAGCATGTCTCCTTCTTCCTCTATATTATTAGTTAACAGTCGTTCTGTTCTCGTTGGTTGTACGGTGGCAAACCAGAATGTCACCCGCTGCGTGTGCTTCGGTGTGCGGTCCTTCATCTTAATTCTACCCTGGAATAACATACTATCGTACAATAGTATTAAAATCTGCTGGCTGCTGTTGTCTTTTACTTCCAGATGTTGCCTTCCCATTTACAGATTGCGATCTTTGTTATTGCAATGTGCACGTTTTTATTACTGTTGCAGATTTCGCTTGATCGTTGACGATCTCAAGACGTTTACACATAAATGTTTTGTCCAACAATTTCGAATATATTGTTGTTGTAAATATTTTCGGAGATTATAATGCTAGACGGTTAGAAGATTACATAAAAAATACAAATTGTTTAGGTATATTATCTAAAATTGATCATATTGTTTATGAGTGATTTGAAATTCTTCTTGGCCTTTTTATATAAAATTATTGAAATCAAATGACCTGAATCGTGTCATGCTGTCTACCATTCAAACGACATTATTATACAGAACCATTTCAGTTTCTAAATGGTAATCCTTTCTATACACCATAGATTAAAACGCAGTTTTATTAATATTTACAATTAGACATTTATATTTCGAAATTTATTTTATTGTTATTACAGTATTATGTGCTAGCTTACAAACAGAATTTTGATAAAGGTTTTTTAAGTATTATGAAGATGACTTTAAGAACATACATAAAAAGGTAAAATAATCCGGAAACCGTTTAGTTTATCTCACGAATTAACATTCACGTTCTGTTCATTTTCAAGTTCAGGTAAAGCTTCTGGATTCTGTTTACCGATTTTAACAGATGGATTTGTAAAAGGAAAGTCTGGAATTTTGAAATAAAACCGATTCCCCTGAACGCAATTGTTTACATTAATGTGCAGAGTTATTCCAGTGGCGTAGCCCAGGGGGGACAAAGGGGAACTTGGACCCCGGGAGGCGTAAATATGGGGGCGGCAAAAATGTTTTCTTCAGTATTACGTACAATCGGGTCCGCCGCATAGTAATGTTATATATTATAATTTCTTGGTATTTGTACCAGATATTAATAATTTGTACTACATAGCAAGACATTACCGTCTTGGTTGGCAAAATTACCAACATTTTTTAATTGATTAAAATTTGAGAATAGCTGTCTTGTATCTAACCGTAAAAACGGCAAATTTTTATACCTCATATAACAAAGCTGAAGGTCCAATGGTCGAACCCTAACTGTTCACTTTATGATAAGGACGAAGGTCGTTATTATAGTTAAAGCTCCCATAGCACAAAAATATACGTCGTAGAATATCTCCGTAATTGTAACAATTGCAGAAAAACAGAAGCATGAGTTGTCTGGTGTCGTCAAGACACTTTTAATATTCTATTTACATTTAGCACTGTATAATATTACGGTAAATTTTATAAATGCCATCAGTTAAATGATGCAGAATCCTGAGTTATTGAAACTCATTGCAAAGGTATGGAAAGAATACCACAATAAAAATATGTACTGAAGATCCAGTATAATCTATTTAATGAACCGAAATTTTAATAAATCCTGAGATGAATCCTCAAAATCCCCTTGCTATAAGGAAAGCAAAGCTATTTGTAAATAAGCTCATGAATTTTCAATTTTCGATAAAAATAAACATTACATATCACTTTAAGGGGTAAACTAAAAATGCAAGTTATTTTTACACCTTTTCACTGCAATCCCTATCAGTTTAAGTAAAAGATGTTACATTATTATAAAAATAGGAAGGGCGGCTAATTCAGGGTCCCCTCCCCGGGTAGCAAAAATCCACGCTACGCCATTGAATTCTCAAAATCTTTTGAACAAATTATAACACCCTTCAAATTTGTATATGCTTTTTTTATACCATATTGTACTTGTCAATTTATTTATTTTATAATGTCTAGATACAATTTCCTTAAAAGGTTGTGATTTTTTAACTGATATGTAGGTAAAGCCTATTAACCCATATTTTTTTCTGTTTTTTTTTTCATAAAAATCAAATACGAAGCTTGACATCTGTTTACAGGTTTTTTAAATGTCATGTAAGACTTCCGTACCAAAAAAAAAAAAAACATACTTNTCTAGATACAATTTCCTTAAAAGGTTGTGATTTTTTAACTGATATGTAGGTAAAGCCTATTAACCCATATTTTTTTCTGTTTTTTTTTCATAAAAACCAAATACGAAGCTTGACATCTGTTTACAGGTTTTTTAAATGTCATGTAAGACTTCCGTACCAAAAAAAAAATAAACATACTTATATACGTCTGTCAGTGAGTCAATTCTAGTTGTTTATAAATTCCAGATACCTATAAACATTTAGGTGATGACAAAAATGAGGTAGCTGCTTCAGAAAAACGGTCGCCCTTCCTTCCTCTTCATAAATTAAAGATTTATATCTGTCTGATCGTTTGGTCGACATTTTATGTTATTTTACATGAATTAGTATTTTTGTTTGTTTCAACATATATTTGATAATATTTTCATTCCGGAATCCCGGATGGATTTTAAGTTTAGAATTATGGTATAATAAAAAACCTGAATATACACGCCATTCTTCACTTCCTGTTGAACTTTTAATGCTATTTTAATTTTAAGAAATTAATGAGAAAAGCAGGAGTTTGTAACTGTGCTACCCAACTAATAACCTGTAAGACGTCTACATGTCTTGGTGCCATTTTTGCAATATAAAAACCTACGAAGAAAAGATTTATTTATTGTAATAATGAAAACCATAGTATTTCAAATCACACTCAATTTAAAACCAACTTATTTTATTTCATTTAGTTAACAGCTCTGTATTATTGTTTCTGTAGTGAGATTTCAAAATCTTCATCATTTAAAATCTATCGATATAGCTGACATTCTTATCGTAGCTTTTAAAATAAAAAGTATTTACTGCAATCAGTCCGCATAAAAAGTAGGTAATTAAAGAATTTCATTAGGATGTATAAGAAGCAAAGTTGATTTTAGAATTTTCGGTATTTTTATATCCTTTGATTGTTTTCTAAATAATATATATTGTTTTCGAATAACCTGAATCTTCTTTTGTCTTTATTTTTCTCTAACAATAATACCTAATAGAGTCTCGTAACTCTACACCCTCCGATCCGAACGGTTAGTTAGTTGAACAGATCCGGACTGCCCGCAGCGTGTTCACTTATTCGGAAGATTTTGTCTTCCAGATGACGGTTACTGTCATTATGATTGATGACACATCCGGCCTAATACGCAGTATTGCTTGTTAATAGAGTGGTTTTGCCTAAAATTTCTTTTGCTCATACAGTCTTCTACCAAAAAAGTGGCTTAAAATGAAACCAATACTTTCAGTTGTTTTTATTTCCTTAATTTTACGTTGCTTAAACATTGTTTCGAAGCGTAATACCTAAATACAATACAATGTATCACTTCGGATATGAACAGTAACGAACTATTTGAAATTTGTAACCGATAAAGATGTGGTTGTTTCACAAAAAAT